GGTCTCCAAATAATTCTGTCAAGCTCTCTCTAATCAAAACAGTAAGAGAATATTGCTTATTAGTCATGTTTGTTTTTCCCTCTTTGCTTTTAAGGCCGTTCTTTTCCCTTTGGTTTCTAGAAGTTTCACTATGATGAGCCTAGACCTGTTTGTATGTGTGTTTCCGTGTGTGCAGGGGGCGGGGGGGAGTGGGAAGGGGGGAAATGTATTATGCTTGCAGTTTGGCACATCAATATACCACCTGATATTTTTCTTTATTTTTGGAACATTGTTGGCTATTGTTCCTTCATACATTCGGCAGCCCTTCTCTCTTCTTGGACTGCAATACGATATCTCTTATGTGTTTAAATATATACAATTTAATAATGACTGTTTCCTTTGATCAATATAAAATAATACCTCAAAGACATTTCTAATCTATTCTCGTTGCTTTCTACGCAGTGGTAGGCTACGGTTTTTGCTTGCCTCCTTCTTTGTTCACTTACATCCAGTATTTCATTTCATATCTCCTTAGAATCTCTGTAAAGTAAGGTTTGGGTGCCTATGAACACATAAATGTGTCCTCCCTGTAATATTTTAAAACATTCGGGAAATGATGATGTCTACCCTCACTCACCACACACTTCCATCCTTTTTCTTCTTCTCTTTTCAATGGAACAATGCCATGGGACATTTCTGTTTACCATTCTAGACTTTTCTCTTGCATTTACATGTCTTTTGTATCCCACGGTGAAGTATATACTGTTGTTCTCCGTGTGAATGTGCGCTTCACGTAAAGCGTATTATTTGTACTTAATTGGTCTCTAGTTAGATTTCTTTTGCCTGAATTTTTTTTTTTTCCTGAGTCAGTACATGATGGTCTGCATCAGCCTTTGTGCTGGAGACATAACATGCCCTTGTTGGCTTAGATTATAGGTTTGTTAGTCTTTCCCCACGGGTAGCAAGCACCTGGCATGCACCCAGTGTTGTTGTGACAACCTACAATGCAGTGACTTATCTTGTGAACGAGGGCACCTTTTTCTCCTTGTGCACGACACAGGGAAATCAGTACGTTCTGAAATACACACCTCGCCCACTCGCCTGGATATTAGTAACTATGGAGGTCTCGCCTGCTGGAAAGAGGAGGCTGTCCTTGACTTTTTCAACCCTAATGCCGTGCATGATTTCAGTAGTGTTACGGACGGTGGTGGAGGCCTCCTTGTGGCAGGTCATAGGGACCGGAGGGGTAACAGAGCATCTTTGGAAGGAAGTTGGCCTACTTGATGGGAGAAACCACCTGAGTTTGTGAGAGGCATGGGAGAGAAGCCACTCTAGTCTTAAAATAAGGCCCTGAGGGAAACCTTGACCTTTGTAGAGTCCTTTGCTCAAGCACTCATGCTTCTCCTTCTCTGGGTAGATAGCTCTTGATGGTGGGTGCCTGCAAGAGTAGCTTCTCTGGTTCCTTCTTTGTTAAGGAAAAATTGGGAGGCAGAGCTTGGCAATTTGAAGGTATATGTGTATTTAGTGTTGTAGCTGATCATTGGTAGGGGAGAAGCAAGCCTAATTTTTTCACTTCTTTGAGAAAACCGAGGACAGTTCATGATTTTTCAGTTTGCAATATTTGCCATTTAAACGTTTGTACAAAAATAGCCCACATTTCCAAGTGACCTTTATGGATTTATGAAACTAGTGAACAACACAAGGGAAGGGTTTGAAGATTATCGATTCCCATTCAGTTATTCTACAAATGGAACTCAAACCCAATGAAAACTTAAAAACTTTTACATGTGAAAGTTCGTGCTGAATTCATCTGGCACTGGAAAGGTGCAAAAACAGGCAAGAACGTATTTTCTTTTACAACTGAAATTACATAAAATGTGCCTTTATAATAAAAAAGGGGGACTGCCAAGTTGTCTTGTCCATTTGTGGAAATACATGTTTTGGGGACAGTTTAAAGTCACAAAACCTACAGCTTAAAAGAGGCTCCCAGGGGGACGGGGTGCCTGGGTGGCTCAGTCGGTTAGGCGTGTCTGCCTTCGGCTCAGGTCATGATCCCGGGGTCCTGGGATCGTGCCCCGTGTCGGGCTCCCTGATCAGTGGGGAGTCTGCTTCTTCCTCTGCTCCTCCACCTGCTTGTGCGCTCTCTCTCTCTCTCTGTCTCAAATAAATAAATAAAATCTTTTAAAAAAAAAGAAAAAAAAGGAGCTCCAAGGGGTGCCTGGGTGGCTCAGCCGGTTGAGCGTCCCACTCTTGATTTCAGCTCAGGTCTTGATATCAGACTCATGAGACTGAGCCCTGCATTGGGCTCCACCCTAGGCATGGAGCCTGCTTAAGATTCTCTCTCTCCCTCTTCCTATGCCCCTCCCTCCCTTCTCCCTCTCAAAAAAAAAAAAAGAGAGAGAGAGAGAGAGAGAGAAAGCTCCAATAAATAAGCAGCAATTGTAGGGAAGGGATGAAGGGGTGTTGGGGTAAAGATGAGAGAACTCCTGCCTCTGGGGAGTGGGGGGGGGGCGGTACGGGAGTCATATCAGGGAAATTGCCCTTATTTTGAGACAATACCTTCAGAGTATTGTCTTCTTCTTTCTTTGGAAATGATTACAGCCCTCACTGGGGAAAAGAGTTAAGGAATAAAGCTTCCAAAATAATTCTTCCAAAACTCATGGCCGTTGATTGGAGAAATAAATACTCATTGCCATCAAGTTCTTTCATTCATTTTTTTTAATTTTCAAATTTTATTAATTCATTTAAAATAAAATCATTATATGTGAACATAATAACATTTTTATGAAAATAACTATATTCTAATGAGATTGGTAGTGATATTAAAAAAAGAAAATAACTATATTCAAAAAATTTTAAAATGTTGTAAGAGGAGTGGCATTGTTTTACACTTTTGCAAGTCTTGTTAATGTCTGGCTTCATAGAAGATAGCTGTATTCCATCTGCTTCCTCATTCAGTCTGTTAAATTTTGTTGGTTTGTTTGAAGTATATGAAGAATATGTTGCCTCACACACATATGCGGCTGAAGAAAATAGGTCTATTTTAGAAGCATTACAAAAGAGCCGTTCCATGCAAGATGGGCCGGTGGATTTTATTGTAAAAGCTCTTTCATTCCTTAACCAAAGAGCAAATGGAATAGAACAAAAGTTATACCAGGACTTAAAAGTTGAAGCTGATCCATCTGAGGGTTCCATTTCTTGATGGTCTGGAATTGACTGTGAAGTTATAGATTGCGGAGTTGCTATTTATACCATTCCCCTTCTGGTTTTTCGTTTTAATATTTATTCATTTGAGAGAGAGAGAGAGCACAAGCGGGGGGTGGGAGGGGCAGAAGGAGAGGGAGAAGCAGTCTCGCCGGCCGAGCAGGGAGCCCGATGCGGGACTCCATCCCAGGATCCTGGGGTCATGACCCGAGCTGAAGGCAGATGCCCAACTGACTGAGCCACCCAGGCGCCCACCGAGCTAGGATTTTAATTATTGCCTGAGACTGGGCATCCTCATGACGAAATTGAGCCTTGAGATTTTATTACAAAATTAAAGTTGTTATTATGTGACCAAGACCAGAACAACTTGGGGTCAGATGGAGTTTTCACGTAAGAATAAGGTGAAAAGCTCCCTATCCCATTCATTCAGCAAATACTTGTTGAGCGCCGACTAGGTTACTGGGTACATTTTCATATCCAAGCCCTCTGAGGATTGGGGGTTACTTTAAAAGTTACTTTAGTGTCATTCAAGGTTCTATTTTTTAAGACATTGTTCCTGGTGTGCAAAAGAGGATCAACATTTACATATCATTATCTCTATCTATCTGTCATCTGCCTGTCTATACATCCACCTGTATGCATCTTTAGAGGGAAAGAAGAGAGCTGTGCTCTTGTTAGTACGAAAGATAAAAAGAAAATCATCTGCAATATTAGGTACCAACCCTTAATGGAAGCTGTTTGGACAAGGGGCCAAAGCATATGGTGAGAAGGCCATTGGGGATTTAATATTTTCATTTAACACCCTTCCCTTCTGATCGCCTCTCTCAAGGATGCATTGCTTTGGTAATCGGAAGAAGTAACTGCCATTGATATTTTGGCCGTCCGCTGGAAGTTACTCCATTAAAGTGTTTCATAGTTGAACAGATGTACGCAAATGTGAATAGGAGAGAATATTCAAATCGAACAGATGTACGCAAATGTGAATAGGAGAGAATATTCAAATCGGTGGTATGGCTTTAAAACCTTTTTAATATCTTATAGAAAATATGTATAAACAGAATAAAAAATGCTGGAGTCTGTGGACCCACATATTTGCAGTTAACATTCCTCCTAGGTGGTCAGATTACTGATGCTTAACATTTTCCCTACTTTATAGCTTTAAACAGCATTTTAGATTTTCCGCGTGTATTTTCAAACCAAGGAACTGAAAGGAGCTGAAAACAACATCTGCACTGGAAGCAGAAACATTTGCATGCGTGTGTAGAGCAGAAAGCATGGATTATATGCACCGGTATCAGGCATCTTGGGTCTCTAACGTCATCGCTCTGGGTGTGTGTATATATCTGTGAGTGTGTGTGTATGTATGTGTGTCTTGGGGATGGGCAGCTATCTGGTTGGAGTTGAGGTGACTCAGGCACTCCTGTTCTGTATGAGGGACCGGCAGGTCCTGCTGCAGGGAGACTGCAGTTGGCTGAATCACCTGTTTTTCCTTCTCCCTTTTGTTCTGTGTCCTCACATCACACCTGTGTTCTGAGAGCCAGCACACTGAGTTCTCTAAAGCAGAGGACGCAGTTACCTGCCTGATCATACACTCTGGCAAGAAAAAGTTTGTGCAGGCTATGCCCAAAGTAGGTATAGTTAGTCATCATACATTTCATATTATACCTATGAGTATGTGTGAACAGAGCTGTGCATACATGCATTTATTAGGGAAATAATATTTTGTACTGTGAAACATACCATTTGAAACTGATAATGGATGAGCTAAAAGCTGTAAGTGAACTATAATACATATTTGAACAGTGTATACAGAGAAGTCGAACCCATTCACAGGGTATTTCTTGGGGAGGGGGTGGGGAGAGGGATTGAGAGACCAATTGCACTTTCTGCACTACACACATCTAAATGTTTGAAATGTATTTAAGTAAAGTTTTTAAATGTCAGAGAAACCACATCGTAAAGAGATTCACAAAAACGATGTGAAAAATCAGCATTCACATGAAACAGTGATCACATATGCTCTTGAGTGAAGAAATGTAGTCCTCGGTAATATGTGCGGGCATGTGTATACGGATGCGTCGCAAGTGTGTGACGAGCCCACGTACCATCATACTGACAGTAAGCATCTTTAATGTATTGCCTCCTATATATCTCTCTCTACCCGTTTTATGTTCTCCACAAACCCATTTAATGTTACTTGAGAAACACCAAAACACACTTGCAGACCCCATTTTTGTTACACACACACACACACACACACACACACAAGCTGCTACTATTAAATCTATGCGTCCAAGACAGACAAAAAAAGACTATGATGAAAGCAGTGGTTCCCACGGTTCTGAAATAGGAGGACTAGCCTAAACTAAGTAGCTTAACGTGGAAATAGTTTTGAAACGCAAAAAGAAGGAAGCAAATAGACGTGTCTACATTATAAATGAGACTTAACTAACATTTCTGTTTCAGAATGGGCTACATTCCAGAGTTGGGGAAGGGAAAAGGATGAATCCATCCCCGTCTCATTGGCTTAATTTCCCGTCTGCTTTTCTGATTTTCTAGATTGACATTAGAGGTACGTAGGAGGTCCTGGGTATCTACATTTGCTGTCATTTGATCCCTGGAAGGACAGTGCACTTCAGAAGCACAGAGCAGAGGTAAAGGGTCTGCCGGACAAGCAGTTGGGAGTGTGTGAATCAACAGATGCAGCTCACAGAACCTCGCCTCCCCCGACCCACGTGGTGTTCTGTAAGACGTTCCTGTTTTACTAAACATTTCATTTGCAATCACTTCGTGAGGACACTTGGGGAGTGTGGTTTATCTTGCTCCTCACTCTACAGCCACTTCTTTACACAAATATGTGCTGGGGGCAGGGGAAACAGCCTTTTAAGCCACCACAGAGAAATGAAAAAGGGCAGGTCACAGCCAATGGCCCACGCCTGCAGCAATCCTTATGAAGGATGGTACCAGTAACCACCATGATGACCTTCGTGAGCCTCTGGGTTCTAAGCTCACGCTCTTGAACACAACACTGTGCTGACATTCAGTGTCTGTAGGCTGGAGATCGCCTCTGGCTTCCTTGGGTGGCACAGGGTGGCATCGGCACCCCCAGAAAAATGAGAGCTGAAGCACTCCCCCAGGATGAGCCCCAGAGAGCCCCAAAGGCACAGGATGTCCAATAACACAAATGAGATCTGGAAAATGACACCCACCTCCCCACACAGATGCTCTTTAATATTGCAGGAGTAACAAGCAGGGCAAGAAGTTGGGTTTGGAAAGTAATAAAATTCCTCTGGTATCTTCTTCTGCATTTCCCGGCCCCCGCCCCCCGCCCCGATACTTGCCATGTATTTACCCCCTGTCTGATACACACTCTTTATATTTCTTTGTTTTATCTCTTATCAATCCTCATCGACCAATGTTCTTCTACTTTCACAAAAGGAATTTTTTTCTAATACTTTTCTTCTTTTCCTTTTCCACATTCCAGTATTCTCCAGTATAGTCCATTCAAAACACAAGTTCCAGCGACCCTGGGAGATTCAGGTGAAGAAGGACAGGCCATGCAAGCCGTAAGCCCTTTGTGGTCCCAGGCCAAAGAGGTGTGGTGAACAACATTGCTTTAGGGAAGACCTGCCGTGCCTGTGGGTATGATGGCCGGACCTCGCGACCTCTGTTAATTACCTCTTGAGAGGAAACTCAAGTCGTCATGGATGCTGAGTATGTCCTGTGCAATTGGAAAGGCCATTTTTGGCCAGCAAAGGTTTTGTCCAGATCTAGGATCTCACCAAGAAATAAGAGGAAAGGGGCACTTTCTCTAAAAGTTGAGATACTCTCCGTAGATGAAAAAATTGAGGTGAAAAGCACAGACATAAAGATCCTAAATGAGTCTCAAATTGAATACATTACCTCCTTGCTAACAGCCGAGTCGGAGGCCAGTGTCCCACCAGGACGGGAAGTGCCCTACAGAAACGCTCTTACAGTGGCACTGGAGATTCTGAATGAGAGAGCAAATCTGGGTCCAGCAAGAGCATCAGATGATCCAGAGACCATTAAGCCGTCCCAAAGGGGACCACAAAAGCGATCTCGTAGAAAGTACCGGAAGCCCAAAGGGAACTTACTGAGGGGCCTCAGGAAAAGCAAAAAACTCAAATCGCTGCTGGTACGTTCACAGAGTGAGGACGCCCCAGACGGTGGCCGACCACGGGCACACAGAACCGTCACTCCTATTCCAAGGAAAATGCAAGGGGAGTCCCCACAAAGCTCCAGCAGGTACCCAAACTTCCCGTCACTTTCAGAGGGAGATTATGAGGAAGAGGGCAAGGAAAAGAGGGACGCCTCAAGAGTTAGGCCCTTGCGTCGCCCAGCCAAGGAGGAGGGTACAAGTGCTAAAGACGGAGGCGCCCTTCCATCTCTGCCACCAGGGTTCAACCTCACTGTACCCAAGGCTCTGAAAGAAGAGGCACGTGACACCGACCCAAAGGCCCTGGCCGTCTCCTCTGAATGCTCTGCCTTCTCCGGGAATGTTGGGGACCACGGAGAGGGTCCCTGGAAGCCAGGCTTGGAAGGTGTGGCAGCATCCTGCAGTGCCCCTAACCCGAAGCTGCGTTACTCACTCCGTCTGGCAAATAGAAAAAGGAAGCTGCAGGTACCAGAGTTTGAGAAAGGGCTGCAAGGACTTCAGCCTTCCGTCAGCTCAAAGGCTATCAGCCCCACCACTGCTATTAAAAAGGACGTCAGCAAGGAAATGGGACAACCGACAAGCATGGCTTTTCCACAGGAGCCTCGTCCCATTGAAGGAGGAATGATGGTCTGGTTCAAATTCCAGGATCACCCATTTTGGCCAGCGGTGGTAAAGAGTGTCAGCCAAACAGAGCAGACTGCGAGGGTGCTTTTGATTGAGGCAAACATGCACGGCGAAATGAGTGGCATTCGAGTTCCTCTTCGAAGATTAAAGCATCTGGAGTGTAAAGAGAAAGAAAAACTGATGAAGAGAGCCAGGAAAGTGTACGAGCAAAGTGTGAACTGGTGTTTCTCCCTGATTTCCCACTACAGGGAAGGGCTCAGTCGCGGGTCTTTTGGAGGCTCTTTCCTGGACTATTATGCTGCCGACATCAGTTACCCAATTAGGAAAGCCATCCAAGACGGGGATGTGGAGATTGATTTCCCAAAGGTGAATTATGCCGACCTGGAAGATTCTGAGGAGGAGGCCTCCCTGGGCGGGGGGAAGAGGCCCTGCAAGAAAATTCTCCCTGACCGCATGAGGGCTGCTCGGGACCGAGCCAACCAGAAGCTAGTGGACTTCATCGTGAAAAGAAAGGGAGCTGATCACCATCTTCTGGACATTGTCAAAGGCAGGAAAGAGTCCAGGTGGCTGGCATCATTTCTGAATTCAAGCAGGTACGTGATCTGCATTGAAACATACCTGGAGGATGAAGACCAGTTGGATGTGGTGGTGAGACATTTACAAGAAATCTACAAACAGATAGACAAGAAAATGCTGACTCTGACAAGGGATGACAAAGTGAGTTTTGTTCTGGAAGTTCTTCTGCCAGAAGCAATCATTTGTTCAATTGCTGCACTTGATGGATTAGGCTACAAGGAGGCAGAACAAAGGTACCTACAGGGGCCACCGGTGCATTACCGGGAAAAAGAGCTATTTGATAAAAATGTCCTCAAGGAAATGAGAAAGGGATCAGCAACAAGGGGCAAAGCTAAATAACTCCTCCTGTGCCCGCACTTCAGCAGGGCGACCTCTCACTGCCCTGTCTGTATGAAATGTGTGATTCCTTCCATTCGCTACGGCATGTAAATATGTTCTGTAAATTTGAGACCCCGGGAACATGCTGGATTCATCTTGGAGCAATCTCTAGCACCTATGGGTAGCACGGCCATCATCATTTCTGGTTCCCAAACGCTTCACAAACTAATTTGTTAAAATACTGCAAACAGTTGTACTTCCCTCTACTTGCTTGGATGTGTACCTGTCCAGGTGTTTTCATAATGTTGCTTTTGACAGTACTTCATATTTCAATATAGGATGCGCATTCTTTTATCACATCAAAGACCCCTGGTGTCAGACATTAAGCCACAGTCGTTTTCGAAATCCAGGATAGATGCTCACAGAAACTTCACGTGGATTTCTCATCCTTTTTGCGACGCCTCAGCGTAAATGATTGGATTCCTTCTTGAGATAATTCCTGAATTTGATCTGCCATGCTTATTTGTTTGGAAAAATAGCCCTGAGGGGTGAAGCCAACAGCAGAGATGTTTTCTATACATTGTCACTACCTTCAAATGGTTCTTGGAAAAGCAGTCTGGAATCCAAAGTCAACGGGTCATCTGCATGCCGTCCACAAGTGGATGAACGAAATCTCAGCGGGCAGTAAACATTTTGTCAGCCTGTGCGAGATGGTTAACTCTTCGCTTCCCTAAGATTCCACTTAGGGAAGTAGCTCTTGTTCGCTGGCTAAGCGGTTTCCTAAAACAGACAGGCTCCTGGCTGTCTTCCTAACTGACTGGATGCTCTACACAGAGTGGTTTATCCCCATGTGGAAGACAACGAGAGTCATCATACACACAGTTTAGCTATTTTAGACCTAGGAGCTCAAGCTCCCTGCTAGGAGCCCATCTAAGTGACACAAACTGTAGGGAAGCGTGCGCTTTGTCCTGGACCTGTGTCCCCTAAAACACAGTCATTTGCCTCATACCAAGCAAGCTTTCTCTTTTGACTTATTCATTGACTAGCCCTGACAGGTTCCAACAGTTATAATTGCAGGCTGGTAGGTCACTCCAGGCTGCTTGAGCAATAGTAGATGGACGAGGACCTGGGAACTCAGAAATGGGCAACAGAAAATCTTCCATTTGGCTAAATATGGCTGTTGTCAGAATACAGTGAAACACATCTAACTAAAAGATAAATTCTGAAGCCCATGAATTGTTATCCTAACTCGAAACAAGATTTTTTTTGCGGGGAAAAAAAAAATGTCAGAAAAGCTAGTTTACTTTTAAAACTTGTTGTGAAAATAAACACTAAAGGCTTAACATGAACCTGAGTGCATTTTTATTCTTAGAGGGAGTCAACTGTCACTCACAGGCCCACGTTATGTGTTCATGTGGCCATGAGATGTGTGTGTGTAAAATTTGTAAGAGTTAGCTGTTTTGATTCACAACAAAACCATTGTATCTTTCACCTTGAACTTCTGCTTCATCATACTTTAGATTGTACAACTACATAGTTGGTGTCTCTAAATATGTATATATAATATATGTACAGACACATACATACGTGTGTGCGCGCGTGTGCGTGTGCATACTATTTTGGAATTTCAGTGATTTAGTCATCATCTTTTAAAGTTTATTATGAATTTTCTTCTCATCCTAAATAAACACTCACTTTCATGCTTGTTTTCATCATTTTAGAAGAGGGCCTTCCAAATTGTGTAAGCTTCAGACCCACCAGAACCTTCTTTGGGCTCTGCCTGAGAGACACCAATGACTCCTGAGGCATTCTGCCTGGGCTAATCCACAATGACATCTTCATGGCCCTGAAAAGTACTTGGAAACACACCATCTCCATGCTCTACGTGGACCTTGTACACTGGAACAACACACTTTAGTTCTTCCATAAACACTGTGTCTCTCTGAATCAAATATATCACTCAACTTCAGCCTTCTCATATAGTCAGATCTGGCTCTCCATTCTAATATTTTCTTCACTATCTCATCCATCCATCCATCCATCCATCCATCCATCCATCCATCCATCCATCCATAGCATTGTGAGTCAGTAGAGCAAGTAAGATGTGGTTTAAGACTCTGATCTGAGGATAAATTTCAGGTGCCATAGAAAGAAGATGACAATCTTGGGACCCAGGTGACAATCTAATTTCTAAGATGACTGTGATGCTCTACTTCACATTCTTAGTGAGAAATATTTATCGGCATCATGGATTGATTGCCTATATGTGAAACCAGAGCCCTGGATTTTCCCATACTTGTGAGATTGTGAGTATCTCTTGGTTTGGGGTGAAGGGAGAGGACCTGGTCCCTCCTGGGGTGTCATTTATGCCTGAGGCATGCACTGAAGAGGGCAACATGCCTAGAACATGCATCTCTTCTCCACTTGAACCAGGATCACATTTGGGGTGTGCAGCCGGATTTGGGGGGCCGGCTGTGTAGACTCTGAGATACCTCCCAGCATGAGCAGTTCTTAAGGTGGCTCAGAGATGGCCCTAAACTGGTTCTCTGTCATGGGTGTGTGTGTGTCTGATGGGATAGCCCAACCTGTCACCCACCCTAACCTACTGGATCAAGGAGACCTCCTCTCCTGGGGTCATAAGGCAGATGGTGGAACATCAGGCCCTGACCGTAATTGTTGGTTGGCAGAGATGCATGGAGATGGAATGCACAGAATTTACAGTTCTCCATATTTACGTATGGATCTGACAAAGAAAAAGTGGAACCCCGAGGCACACTAAGGTGATGAGCATGAGAACACCGAATACCCAGAATCCCCTGAAAGCTCACCTGGGCATTAGCAGTCCCGTAACTCTTGCTACTGGAGAAGCTTCCTTGTTCCTGGAGACCCTGCAAAGACCTCATCTAAGGCAGCCACCCAAACAGATGTTGCTTCTCTTATTCAACATTAATCTCTGCTAACTTCCATTACTATCGGACTAATAACAAGGGTAGGTAAGACTAGGTAAGATGACAGCACAAGAAAAAAAAAATACAGTTTGGTTTGGAGGGGAAATGCCTTACATTCAGAAGACACTGTAGGACCCGACTCATAGGTACTTGCATGAAGCGAGATAATATATGTGCCAGTGGATTTTGAGAATGTTGGTCCCACAAGACAGGGAACAGAATATAAGTCAGCATGGAGAGAACTTACTAACGTGGGAGCACAGAGCTGTGACTTGGGGTTTGATGTCCTTAAAGGGGCCAACCCAGCCCCTTTAAGGGCCCCTATAATGTGCATGTTATAGAAGCGTGGACAACAAACAGTCTACAGTAAATGACACGGAAATACTGGAACTTCCTAGGCAGAGAAAATTGAGGAATCGGCGAGAAGGTCCAGGGGAGTAGGTTTTTAGATATGACTTATAATGTGAGATCAGAGTCCTACCTCCAGCCTCTGTTTCTTTGGAGGGCAGAGAAATCACGACTCAAATAAGGAATGTTGCTGGTGAAGTGGCACTGGCATCTTTGAGGAGCTCAGTGCTGACTCTCCTCTGCAAACCGTTGTTGGAAGCAAGCGGTGACGGCATGGAACTGGCAATCAGTGGAGATGACAGGATTCTCAAAAGGCAGGGTCCCAATGGTGGCACAAAACTACCAGGGGCAAGGTGGGCATCATTACCATACTGGGCAGCAAGGCCAGGGTGGAGTCAGTCTCATCTGACTGACCGGAATCTGTGGCAATATAGATAGTATAGATAGTAGGTAGTAGTATTCTAGGGTCTGGATGTATGGACAGCTGGCTGGGGTATTACTTGATTCTCGTAAGGAAAAAAAAAAAAGAGAGCTGGAAAGCAGAAAGCTGATGCTAGCAACCGTAGTGGAAAACATTAGTCCCCCACCAAGTGTCGAGGTCTAAGTCAGCCCATGGGCCCAGAGCCTTGATTAAGGTGGAGGTCAGAAAAACCCAGCCAAGCCTTTCCCAAAAACCTGTGTCTATTTACCAAGGTAAATGTGCACTGTGGTAAGGAGGATATTATTAACTCCTCTTTAAATGTTTGGTAGAATTCCCCTGGGAAACCATCTGGTCCTGGACTTTCATTTGTTGGGACATTTTTTATAACTGATTGAATTTCTTTGCTGGTCTGTTCAAGTGTTCTAGTTCTTCCTGTTTCAGTTTTGGTAGTTTATATGTTTCTAGGAACTTATCCATTTCTTCCAGATTGCCCAATTTTTTGGCATATAATTTTTCATAATATTCTCTTACAACTGTTTGTATTTCTGTGGTGCTGGTTGTGATCTCTCCTCTCTCATTCGTGATTTTATTTATTTGGGTCCTTTCTCTTTTCTTTTTGATGAGTCTGACTAGGGGTTTATCAATTTTATTAATTTTTTCAAAGCACCAGCTCCTGGTTTCATTGATCTATTTTACTGTGGGGGGTTTTGTTTGTTTCTTTCTATATCATTTATTTCTGCTCTAATCTTTATTATTTCCCTGCTTCTGCTGGCTTTGGGCTTCATCCTATATTTATAGTAGCATTATCAACAATAGCCAAATTATGGAAAGAGCCCAAATGTCCATCGACTGATGAATGGATAAAGAAATTGTCACCACACACACACACATACACACATAATGGAATATTATATATATAACATATATACATATCACACACACATATATATATAATGGAATATTATTCAGCCATAAAAAAGAATGAAATCTTGCCATTTGCAATGATGTGGTTGGACCTAGAGAGTATTATGCTAAGCAAAATAAGTTAGTCTGAGAAAGACACATACCATATGATTTCATTCATATGTGGAATTTAAGAAACATAACAGATGAACATAGGGGGGAAAAAAGAGAGAGGCAAACCACAAAACTTAATTCTCTTAACTATAGAGAACACACTAAGGGTTGCTGGAGAGGGGAGGTTGGTGGGAGGATGGGTTAAATGATTGATGGATATTAAGGAGGGCACTTGTTGAGATGAGCACTGGGTGTTGTATGTAAGTGATGAATCAATAAATCCTACACTTGAAATTAATAATATACTGTATGTTAGCTAACTGGAATTTTTTTTAAGATTTTATTTTTTTATTTGACAGAGAGAGATATAGCGAGAGAGGGAACACAAGCAGGGGGGTGGGAGAGGGAGAAGCAGGCTTCCCGTGGAGCAGGGAGCCTGATGTGGGCCTTGATGCCAGGACCCTGGGATCATGACCTGAGCTGAAGGCCGACGCTTAACGACCTAGCCACCCAGGTGCCCCAGCTAACTGGCATTTAAATAAAAACTTGGAAGAAGAAAACAAAAGAAGTAGAAATACTATATAATCCAGTAATTCCATTACTGGGTATTCAACCAAAGAAAATGTGAACACCAATTCAAAAAGATACACATCCCTATGTTCATTGCAACATTATATACAATAGCCAAGATATGGGAGCAACCTAAGTGTCTACTGATAGATGAGTGGATAAAGAAGATATGGTATTACATAAATATATATATGGTATACATATATATTATATATAATATATATATATATGGTACACACACACATATGTAATGGAATAAAGAAATGAGATCTTGGGGCGCCTGGGTGGCTCAGTTGGTTAAGCGACTGCCTTCGGCTCAGGTCATGATCCTGGAGTCCCGGGATCGAGTCCCGCATCGGGCTCCCTGCTCAGCAGGGAGTCTGCTTCTCCCTCTGACCCTCCTCCCTCTCCTGCTCTCTCTATCTCATTCTCTCTCTCAAATAAATAAATAAAATCTTAAAAAAAAAAAAAAAAGAAATGAGATCTTGCCGTTTATGACAACATGGATGAACCTAGAGGATATAATGCTAAGTGAAATAAGTCAGAGAAAGGCAAATACAATATTATTTCACTTATATGTGGAATCAAAAAAAAAATGAATAAACAAAACGGAAACAGACTGATCAATATGAGCAATACAGGGAACAAATTGGTGGTTGCCAGGGGGAGGGGTGGGGGAGGGGCATAATAGGTGAAGGGGACTAAGAGGTACAAAATTCCAGTATAAAATAAATAAGTCAGGGAGATGAAAAGTATGACATAGGGAATACAGTCCACAATATTGTAATAATGTTGTATGGTGATGAATGGTAACTACATTCATCATGGTGAACACTGTGTAATGTATGGAATTGTCAAATCACTCTGTTGTGTGCCTGAAACACACTCTGTTGTGTGCCCAATATATTTTATGTCAGTTAAACTTCAATAAGAAACAAAGTGCAAGATAGACTAATGGATTTAGTGTAACATTGTGTGAAAATTTCAACAATAAAGTTTCAGATTCCACTTTGCTACTGTTAAAGAAATTATATAAATATAATTTATATTATATAAAATATAAATTTTATATAGTTCCAAAGAAAATGTCCACAATATCTTGAAAGGCTCAACCACTTCTCCTAGAATTAATGGACATCTCTAGAGAAAAGTGACCACAATATCAGGTTTTATTATTTAGATATAGTTCCTCTTTGAACATCTTGGCCTGAAAGTCTTTACTATCTTTTTATTTTATTTTATTTTTTATTTTATTTTATTTTTATTTTATTTTATATTTTATTATTTTATTTTATTGTTATGTTAGTCACCATACATCATTAGTTTTTGATGTAGTGATCCACGATTCATTGTTTTCATATAACACCCAGTGCTCCATGCAGTACGTGCCCTCTTTAATACCCATCACCAGGCTAACCGATTCCCCCACCCCCTCCCCTCTAAAACCTTCAGTTTGTTTCTCAGAGTTCATAGTCTCTCATGGTTCATCTCTCCCTCTGATTACCCCCCTTCCTTCCACTAATGTCCTCCATCTCTTTACTATCTTTTAAGTTTTCTTTAAATTTAATTAAAAAAATTTAAGTTTATTAAAATGCCTCTCCCTTTTCCAATGGTATATCTGTATAAGGCCCAATTTTCCTCATGTACATCCACCAGAATAACACATCTCAATAGTTTAAATGCAGAAGCAGTTAGTAGAGCTCAGTTGTCCTCTATGAAGCCAGATATTAAAGAGATTTGCTTGACTTACTTCACTTAGTGTAATACCCTCTAGTTCCATCCATGTCGATGCAAATGGTAGGTATTCATCCTTTCTGATGGCTGAGTAATATTCTGTTGTATATTTGAATCACATCTTCTTTATCCATTCATCTGTTGGAGCACTGGGTGTTATATGCAACTAATGAATCACTGAACACTACATCAAAAACTAATTATATACTATATGTTGGCTAAGTGAACTTAATAAAAAAGACAGATTTGCAAAAATGTAAATTAATGCCACTCTTTCCCCTAAATTTTTTGGTTTTTGATTTTTTCAGAAGTTTTTTTATGCTTACATGGTTATTTTAATTGAATAAATAAATACAATTGTCTTAGTATCAAGTCTGAATACACTAAATATTGATGGATATAATACATAATACCCAAAGGTACCGCTTCAATAATCCTTAAGAGTCAAAAAGGGTCATGAGACCAAAATGTTTGAGAACTGCTGCACTATATATATATATATATATATATATATATATATATATATATATATTTTAATTAATACCATATAAATATATGGGATCAGTTTGCTGGTTTCCTTGGGAGGAAATCTTTATGGATAGGAGACAGTTGGGGGCACATGATGTGATGAGCACTGGGTATTATATGCAACTAATGAATCATTGAACATTATATCAAAAACTAATGATGTACTATATGTTGGCTAATTGAATTTAAATTTTTAAAAAGGAGACAGGTAAAATTGTATAAGAGAAATAAAGTGGTATAGTTATGTGTCCACAATTTGGGAATCCGGAGGCCTCATTTCTATTCTGGTCCTAATGGTTTGACTATAAATAGACCACTTGGCCACTGTATAACTCTATTTCTTTCTCCATAACTTGAGGCTCACTGTATCTGCTCCCAACTCGCCCTATCCAGGGGACAGAAAGAGAGGCACACTGGCAGTATTATATAGCATTTCTCAGACTTGCCTTTCTCAACATTTTCAGGACTTCCAAGTCTCATCAAATCTGCCCCCTCTGTTTCTAACAGCACCCAACTTATTTCTGGGAGTGAGTTTCCTGGGAACACGAGCTTTCAGACCAGAGTCTGAGTCTACTTCATTTAGTTGCCCTGTGTATAGAATTTGACCAGTGTATGAGCAGAATCATTGGGCTATGAAGTTTCCATTTTCCAGGCTCTGCTATCTCTACTATTCTAGAGGTCCCAGGAACCTTCCAGGAATTGCTTCTTGGTCTGGTACGATAGAAGAAATCCCATCTTGGGCAGCATGCATCCTACTTCTAGTCTTAGCTCTGCTAATGGCCAACCAGATAACTGCAGGAAAGTTGATCAACCTTGATACTGGAAAGGGATATCTAAAAGCATCAAGCCAGTGGTCTAGGCCCAGACCCTGTGGGAAAAAAAACAAAAACAAAAACGCGTTATAACTGCCCAAACCTACTTGAAGAGAAGGAGGTAAGGACCTGGATTTCACTGCCAAGCCCTACCCACTCCAAGCCTCCAGATATGTTTCCCTGACTTTCTGCTCCCAACGGTCTGGGACCAAAAGGTAACCCTTTAAACTAGGCTTGGGAGTTGGGCTTTTAGGAAGTCAGGAAGGGTGCAGAATTCTGACAACTGAAATCTGGCAGAGGGCCAAGGGGAAGCATAAATTCAGAATGAAAAGTAGAACCATAGTTGACAAAGGTGTTAGATTGACATTGGGATACCAACACTTACTGCTTTGGACATCAAGTAAAAGAGGAACTTAACTTATGTGTGTGATTCACAGACGAATTTATTCAAAAGGTAATTTTCAAAAAATACATGTAGAATTTGAGTTTTATGTATTCAAATTGATAAGAATAAATCTGGAATACAAGGGAAAGTTGCTACACCTACTTGACTATTACTTAGATAAGGAACAAAGACAACAACAACAAACTGTATTATAATCCCCAATCTCTAATTTGTTACCCTCATTTTGACTAGTTTGAAACCTTACCATGTTCCAAGTTTCCAGGTACCATATATATATATATATAAACAGTATGTAACTTCAAAACATTTGAAAGGCTATAGACTGGATGGCCCCAAATAACCTTCCAGCTCCATGGCTTTCTCTCTCTCTCATTTCAGAGTTCTCATTGTTCTTTACCGAACTTTTCCATATTGCACAATTCTACCCACTGTTAATATCATTTCATCTGTACCAGCCTAGACATTCTGAAATGTCAAGTAGCAGTCACTGTGGGACTTTTATAGGGACCAAAAGTACAAACACATAATATGTGAGACCATCATGCCCTGAAAAATCCTAACTGTATTTTATATATAGGCTCAAATAATACTTTTAATACTCAACATTTATGTTTAAATCCATCTTTAATTTCAAAGCCCCAACAAATGTTAATCCTCAATCCATTCTAATTTACAGGGGAGAGAGATGTATTTGCAATGGTGTCTTATCCACACAGCATGCAGCACAATCCTAGGCAAAGAGGAGGACCCCAACATTTCCTACAATAAAATCTCAAGGCGGGAAGGGATGTTCAAAGTTAATCTGCAGTAATCCTCATATCCAATGGTCCCACTGAGCATCTCCATTCATTCATAGTTTCTGTCCCCAGTGTTAATACTCTGGTGCTGAACATAGAGTCTCTAAGGGCAGAAATGAGAGCTGATATGGCAGAACTTAAAAATGCTATCAGTGAGATCCAATCTAATCTAGATACTCTAACAGCTAGGGTAAATGAGGCAGAAGAATGAATTAGTGATCTATAAGACAAACTGATAGAAAAGAAGGAACAGGAGGAGGCCTGGAACAAACAGCTTAAAATCCATGAACACAGAATTAGAGAAATAAGTGATGCCATGAAATGTTCCAATGTCAGAATTATTGGGATCGCTGGGGGGGTGGAGAGAGAGAGAGAGGACTAGAAGATGTATTTGAGCAAATCATATCTGAGAACTTCCCTAATCTGGGAAATGAAACAAGCATTCGTGTCCTAGAGGCAGAGAGGACCCTTCCCAAAATCAAGGAGAACAGACCAATGCCCCAGCATGTAAGAGTAAAACTCACAAATCTTAGAATCAAGGAAACCATCTTAAGGGCAGTTAGGGGGAAGAGATTCCTTATGTACAGAGGGAGGAATATCAGAATAACGTCAGACCTATCCACAGAGACCTGGCAAGCCAGAAAGGCCTGGCAAGACATATTCAGGGTACTAAATGAGAAGAACATGCGGCCAAGAATACTTTATCCGGCAAGGCTGTCATTTAGAATGGATGGAGAGATGCAGAGCTTCCACGACCGGCAGAAACTGAAAGAATATGTGACCACTAAGCCGGCCCTGCAAGAAATACTAAGGGGGGTTCTATAAAAGGAGAAAGACCCCAAGAGTGATATACGACAGAAATTTACAAGGACAATCTATAAAAACAACGTCTTCACAGGCAACATGATGACAATTCATATCTTTCAATAATCACTCTCAACGTGAATGGCCTAAACACTCCCATAAAACGGCACAGAGTTGCAGATTGGATAAAAAGACAGGACCCATCCATATGCTGTCTACAAGAGACTCATTTTGAACCTAAAGATACATCCAGACTGAAAGTGAAGGGATGGAGAGCCATCTTCCATGCCAGCGGACCTCAAAAGAAAGCTGGGGTAGCAATTCTTATATCAGACAAATTAGATTTTAAACTAAAGTCTGTAATAAGAGACACGGAAGGACACTGTATCATTCTTAAAGGGTCTATCCAACAAGAAGATCTAACAATTGTAAATATCTATGCCCCCAACATAGGAGCAGCCATCTATTTAAGCCAACTGTTAACCAAAATAAAGAGTCATATTGATAACAATACGTTAATTGTAGGAGACCTCAATACTCCACTCTCAGCAATGGACAGATCATCTAAGCAGAAAATCAACAAGGAAACAAGAGCTTTGAATGATACACTGGACCAGATGGACCTCATAGTTATTTACAGAACATTCCACCCTAAAACAACAGAATACTCATTCTTCTTGAGTGCACATGGAACTTTCTCCAGAATAGACCATATACTGGGTCACAAATCAGGTCTCAACCGATACCAAAGATTGAGATTATTCCCTGCATATTCTCAGACCATAATGCTTTAAAACTGGAACTCAATCACAAGAAAAAATTTGGCAGAAATTCAAACATTTGGAAGCTAAAGACCACTCTGCTCAAGAATGTTTGGGTCAACCAAGAAATCAAAGAAGAACTTAAACAATTCATGGAAATCAATGAGAACGAAAACACATCAGTCCAAAACCTATGGGATACTGCAAAGGCGGTCCTAAGGGGGAAATACATAGCCATCCAAGCCTCATTCAAAAAAATAGAAAAATCCCGAATTCACCAACTAACTCTACACCTTAAAGAGCTAGAGAAAAAGCAACAAATGACGCCTAAGCCACGCATTAGAAGAGAAATAATTAAAATTAGAGCAGAAATCAATGAATTAGAAACCAGAAACACATTAGACCAGATCAACGAAACTAGAAGTTGGTTCTTTGAAAGAATTAATAAGATCGATAAACCACTGGCCAGACTTATCCAAAAGAAAAGAGAAAGGACCCAAATTAATAAAATTATGAATGAAAGGGGAGAGATCACGACTGACACCGAGGAAATAGAAACAATTATTAGAAATTATTATCAACAACTATATGCCAACAAACTGAGCAATCTGGATGAAATGGAGGCCTTCCGGGAAACCTATAAGCTGCCAAGACTGAAACAGGAAGAAATTGACAACCTGAATAGGCCAATAACCAGTAACGAGATTGAAGCAGTGATCAAAAACCTCCCAAAAAACAAGAGTCCAGGGCCTGATGGATTCCCTGGGGAATTCTACCAAACATTCAAAGAAGAAATAATACCTATTCTACTGAAACTGTTTCAAAAAATAGAAACAGAAGGAAAACTTCCAAACTCATTCTATGAGGCCAGCGTTACCTTAATCCCCAAACCAGGCAAAGACCCCATCAAAAAGGAGAATTTCAGACCGATATCCCTGATGAATATGGATTCCAAAATCCTCAGCAAAATCCTAGCTAATAGGATCCAACAATACATTAAAAGGATCATCCACCACGACCAAGTGGGATTTATCCCTGGGATGCAAGGGTGGTTAAGCATTCGCAAATCAATCAATGTGATAGAACACATTAATAAGAGGAGAGAGAAGAACCATGTTGTCCTCTCAATTGATGAAGAAAAAGCATTTGACAAAATACAATACCCTTTCCTGATTAAAACTCTCCAGAGTACAGGGATAGAGGGAACATTCCTCAAGTTCATAAAATCTATCTATGAAAAACCCACAGCGAATATCATCCTCAACGGGGAAAAGCTGAGAGCCTTTCCCTTAAGATCAGGAACACATCAAGGATGCCCACTCTCGCCACTATTGTTCAACATAGTACTAGAAGTCCTAGCAACAGCAATCAGACAACAAAAAGAAATAAAAGGTATTCAAATTGGCAAAGAAGAAGTCAAACTCTCTCTCTCTTCGCAGGCGACATGATACTTTATGTGGAAAACCCAAAAGACTCCACCCCCAAATTACTAGAACTCATCCAGCAATTCAGTAATGTGGCAGGATACAAAATCAATGCACAGAAATCAGTTGCTTTCTTATACACTAACAATGCAACTGCAGAAAGAGAAATTAGAGAAACGATTCCATTTACAATAGCACCAAAAACCATAAGATACCTCGGAATAAACCTAACCAAAGAGGTAAAGGATCTATACTCTAGGAACTACAAAATACTCATGAAAGAAATTGAAGAAGACACAAAAAGATGGACAAATATTCCATGCTCATGGATCGGAAGAATAAACATTGTTAAAATGTCTATGCTACCCAGAGCAATCTAGACCTTCAATGCCATCCCGATCAAAATTCCAATGACATTTTTCAAAGTGCTGGAACAAACAATCCTAAAATTTGTATGGAATCAGAAAAGACCCGAATCACCAAGGAGATGTTGAAAAAGAAAAACAAAGCTGGGGGCATCACGTTGCCTGATTTCAAGCTCTATTACAAAGCTGTAATCACCAAGACAGCATGGTACTGGCACAAAAACAGACATACAGACCAATGTAAAAGAATAGAGAACCCAGATATGGACCCTCAACTCTATGGTCAAATAATCTTTGACAAGGCAGGAAAAAACATGCAATGGAAAAAATACATTCTCCTCAATAAATGGTGCTGGGAAAATTGGACAGCCACATGCAGAAGAATGAAACTCGACCACTCTCTAACACCATTCACAAAGATAAACTCAAAGTGGATGAAAGACCTCAATGTGAGACAGGAATCCATCAAAATCCTAGAAAAGAACATAGGCAGTAACCT